ATAGCGCTTGGTGAAACACTGCCCCAAATGAACGCCCTTCTCAAACTGGCTGCCCCGGCCTTGCCCCAAGGCCTCACCCTTCCTGCAGGCCAGCATCTCGGGTGATAGGTCTCCCCTGGTGATTGGATGCCGTCGATATCGAGGAAGAAAGGGTAAGGATGGGGCCCGATGTGCCCGCACCCAACTATCCCTGCTCCCCCGCTGAGCGGCCAGGTAGCGCTTCTCCAGCGTGGTGATCCGCTCCTCCATATCCAACTTCTGGGCTAGGGCCTGGGAGGAAGGAGAAGAAAATGAGAGGGAAGGCCATTAGCCCAGCTGCCTGAATCCTGCCGTCCAGTCCACTGGTGCCTGCACCTTCTCCCTGTCCCATGAAGCTTCTGACCTTGCCCCACCCTTAGGGCAACTCCCGAGCTGGTGGGGGGGGTGCCCGCTGAGGCGACGATGACCTGTGGCCCCCTCACCCCCACCCCGTGCTTGCAGAGAAATGCCCAGAGGGTTTTCAAGGACATGACCTTTTGGACCATGAAGCCGTCGTCCCCGCTCACGGTCCAGAACGTCGTGTCTGAGTCACCGGTGCCTCCCTGCCCTACACCAGACCCCAAGATACTCACTCTTCCACTCCAGCCCCACCTGGCCCTCCTTCACCCCTGAAAGCCAAGGCCCTGTGCCCCGCGGGGGCGGCCAGCCACCCTCACCTCTCGGAGGTCCCGCTGGTGCTTGCTGCTCAGCTCCTCGGACTTGATGAGGTCCCGGCGGGCCGTGCCCAGGTCGTCCTCCAGCTCCGTCACAGTGGCTGTCAGCGTGACCAGCCGCTCCCGGGTCTGGCTGAGCTCAAAGCTCTGCTTCTCCAGGAGCTCCTGCAGCTCCTCGGCCCGACCCGCATCATCCTCCAGGGACAGAGCCACCAGTCACCACCCCGTGCCCCTGCCCCAGGGAGATGGGGTCGGGGCAGTTCTGCATCCGTGGGAGAACAGAATTCTCTCCTCAGGCCCGAGAGCTCAGGCCAGACAATGGGCAAACACCGCACTTTCCTCTCCCTTGAAAAGCCACCACATCTAGCACCACCTGCCATCTCTTCCCCTGGTGGCTCCGTGGTGACACACTGGGCTGATGGCAGCAGGGTCAGCAGTTCGAAACCACCACCCCTCTGATGGAGAAAGATGAGGCTTTCTACTACCATCAAGAGTTCAGTCTCCCCCTCCCTGGGGGACGGACAACAGAAAAGTGGGTGAAGGGAAACATCAGACAGTGTAAGACATGAAAAAATAACT